TATCATGTGTGTTCCCTGCATTTGATGAGATTTTTGGGGATGAATCTCAGTTGTTTTTAACATAGAGGCTCCGACGAAGGCGATGGCCGCAACGTCCAAATACCTTTATATATAAAACTGAAAAATTGTCTGTTTGGAGGGTATGTGAGTTATAGAAACGCGCGCCGCTCAACCCATTGGGCTGAAGGTTTGCACACAGATGTTTTCGACCCCGTAGACGGTTTTAGGTTACTTTTTGCGGCGATTCACTGGATCGTTCTATCGATTTATTGATTTGTTTGCGTGTTTCTAAGGAATTGAAGGCTTATCATGTTTAATCAAGCATTTTGCCATAGTCATGTAAAGGAGGGCGGTGAAGCTCATTGCCATCTCAGGATCACGAGGATACGGTTTCGAAGCGGATGCCTTAGGGTAATTTATCCATAACATTTTAAAAAAGGGGGGGGGTGGGCTCGCAGTGCAGGAGAACAATGGCCCGGTCTGGATCGGGAAAGCCAACTAGTTAGTTACAAAACTCTCGGCGGAGGTTAAACCAGCAACGCTATTATGATGCCAGATTTGATGACGATATGAGAATCCAAATACTGAAAATCGAGACTAATACGCCAACACAAGTGTTTGTGAACCTTCACATAGTATCAACAAATCAGTTTGAAACCAAAAAAAAAACAAAATAAGAGTCCATTCAAAGCCGTGCTTCATTCAAGAAACCATTTGGACTTCCTCATACAAAATCAAACACAATGCTAAAGCTAGAATGACAGCATGACTGAAACGTCAACAGTCACCCGACAAAATAAAGCCATTTAACATGGATTAGCCATCAGTAATAAAATGAAGTATTGTTGACAACTATAGGAAACGGCATTTGGCTATTAGTCTATAGCTAGTCGTAATATGCGGTATTTGTCAATTAGAAGGTTGAAAACAAATACTTTTGAGGTTGACTACCTCTCACAGGTTCTGTCGATCAGTTAGGACCCGACCTTTGCCTTCTAAGATATTTTTCCGGACTTCATACAACAACGATGTGTGCAAGCATATATCGTCGAGTCATTTGTAACTTAATATGTGAGCCTGCACACAACGCGCTTCAACGGACGGCACCCTTGTCAGTAACTCCTCAGGAAAACCTTTCCAGCGTAATAAAGTGCGAAAATGTGCACTACTAACTAATACATATCCAATCGAACCAAAGAAGCAAGGCAACGAGGTGAAATCATTCGAGATGAGCGAATTTCAATCTTACAAGCTCGTCAGGTAGCACGCTTTGTGTGCAATACGCATATTAAGTTACGAATGACGCGAGCATAAATGATCTGAGCTGTTCGATTCTCTATCTACTTAGTTTCGTAGGGTCATGGAATAGTAATAAAAGTGCATCTTTTCTTGCTGCGGAAAAGTTGTCATGAAGAAAAATCCATAAAATCTTAGCAGTTTGTTTACATGCTATTAAATCATAAAGAAATTATTCAAGAGATGAATTAGAGCAAATTATATGTGATACTGTATTTAAATTACGATATTTAGCAGAAAAAGTTAGCCTGTTGAATACATACTCCACTTATGTTGGTTTCAAGCATATGATCGGCTTCCAGATTCGTGTGGAGACGGGTTGCGGACTTTCCCTAATTATAAGAATAAGCTTAACGAGATAGTACAAAAAACAATAGTAACGTAGATGATTAACAAGCTCATCCTTGTAATCGGAAAAGTCCGCAGTCCGCCTGCACACGAATCTGGGAGCCGATGATAGTCTAACATACCGGCATTTACAATCGGAAAAAACTCGTTTATTTTGTTCTTTGCTCTTAGCAGTCGCCGGCAGCATTCGAATTCGTCTATCATCTGTTTATCATCTTGAAAAGACTAGCCCTCACTTTCTGTTTGCTGACCTCATCGTCTGCACTTCATTATGAGTAGATTTTGTCATTTCCCCGGATAAAAAGTCAACCGTGAATTCCTTACCACAGGTTTGAATTAGGAATAGGTAGGCACATAAGAAGTAAAAATATCAGATTATATGCAGACAATTTTCGCATACAAGATAGAGCTCGAATTTTTTCTTGGCTCCACACTCTATCATTTTATCCAATACTCCTTACTAACCTCGCAAATCGCGCAGAAGGTTTAGCAAGCAGAATTCGCTACTCGTAGAACCGGCCGAGCGTTGATAGCCCCAAACTGGCGGCAATCAAACGCGGCTAAAGGATACTTATCTCTGATTTCGCTTCTGCTTTAGACACCGGTTCTTTTTTCGTAGACATTGATCGCTGCCATAGCCTCTGTTTTCACCTTTCACGCATAAAGTATCAGTTGAAATTCTGCTATAGAACGCTGCAGATTATGGGCAAAAAAGATAAGCTATGATTCATAATTCATAATTGCTCTTATTCACGATTCTTTTTGGATGATGAAGAGGTGTTTCTTTTTGACCTTGAGAGTTCTTTCATCGCTTACTAGTTGGTGATTAGCAGCAATCACAACATATGCATGTTCCTGTTCATAATGTAAACAGCGCTGGCGCGCGGGAGGGGCTACTTCGCAAAAGACTTTCATTTACCCTTGTGAATTTGAAAAAGGGTACTTTTCCGTTATCCGGACCCATTTTTTTTGAAAAGGATGTTGCTTTTTTTGTACCAAATTTGTTAAAAACTAAAGGGTGGAGAATTAACCTTCTCCCACATGTCAAAAAAAACTGACATGTCATCTACATGTTTCACGTTTACAGGGGGGGGGGGCACGCGGAAGGCGACAATCGGCGAAAAATGGAGGCTGTGTATCATCCGTCTCAATGACTTTCACGGATTTCTACTTGTGGCATTGAGTAATGTATCTGTCCCCACCCCCCACCTTCGTAGTCCCCCGGGGCGTCACTTTGACACCGGAGAGTTTTTGATAGGCACAAAATTGGGGATTGTCGCCTTCCGCACCACACCCCGTTTACAGTTTTTACCAAGTTTGTTTAGCCTACTTATCAATAAGTTCAATCTGTTTTTCATTCAATGACCCCATTTTTAGTCAACAATTTCTTTTATAAGATTTGAAAACATGAAAATGACATTCTGTATTTGATAAACACATTAGGTTTCCCTAAAACAGAAAAGTAGGCCCTTGATCTTCTAAACGACGGAACTTTAGGCAACCAAGTATTTTAAGTCATCATTTATATTATTTATCGGCTCAATTCGCATGGCGAAAACAGTAGGAAGAGCGGGATTTCTTTGAATCATTGTTGAAAGCAACCAAGATGTTTTAATAAAAGGTTAAAACCGTTTTGCTTTCATGAAAGACCCCTGAACAGTCATTTCAAATGCTCTCGTACCTCACTGGAAACAATTTTATAAAACATGTCAAACTGGCCCCAAACGTGTAATTTTTATCTTGACACGTGGCAAGGAGACAGTTCTCGCCAGATCTAAGAAAAAGAATTTCTAGGCTGAAGCACAATTTCATGAGAAAATTTTCAAAAAATGGGTCCGGATAACGGAAGAGTGCCGAAAAAAGTCCTCCCAAACTTCAGTGGTTTTTCTGCCAGTGGGGCTGCACAAAATTGGTCATTGATTTCCATCTTTTACAATATTATTTTGTGCATGTCCTAATATTTGCTGAGCTTGTTAAAATGTCACGAGGGTCATTTATCTCTCTTCTCAAGCAAATTACGATCTGCACAAATGCCGTCACTTCTCCGAAATTCCTAAGATGATATTTATTTATTTATATTTATTTATTTATTTTGCATTTATTTATTTTGTTGTGTGTTCAACCAAGCGCGCAAACTCTTCGACTTATATGTTCAGCAAAGAAGCTTCATTTTTCTAATTTCTCTTTTCGGCCACCATTTCAATTTCAATTACACATTACATGAGTTCAAACCAAAATTATGCCCAAGAATGGTTAGGCAGACAATGACGACTGTGCGCATCTGACCATTCAAAGCTTCATAAACGTACAATATAGAAAAGTCCTACAGCTTACGCTAGGAAACATCTACACATCGTTCATAGCTTCGTTCACATCTTGGATGTGAACGAAGCTAAGAACATGTTTTATACAACATCGTAGAGAAATTTCCCTGATTTTGCTGTCAATAAAATCGTCGTGCATTAACATTCCTATATGCCCTAATTTTCATTATAATGTCTTTCAAAGATCGTGAAACGTGGTGATTGCCGTATCTTCATGATGTGCCGCCTGTGAAGGTCAATCTTTGCTAGTTCATTTTGGGCAACATTACACCGTGTTGATATAATTTTCGATGATTTCATCCACCCTTATCTGTGTTCGTCAATCACTACTGATAACTGATATTCTAGAATTCTTCGTAAAAAGGCAGCAAGCAAATTACTCGCAATCAGTTGAAGTCTTGAGATCCAGCTGTGCTGATTTGTGAACTGGCTTTCTGAGTGCCTTTCGATCCCCCAATACTCCTGAACCCAAGATTCAGACACATCGTCACCATGATTGTATTTTTGAATATGGCAAGCAAAGAGCTGCGAAGCTCACTGTTAACGATTTTGATGTTTCTAATGACTTCACACCTTTCCACTAGGAGTTTGTGACTACTATTCTCATCAAAAAATACTAGAAGATCAAAGTTTTGCGGTTTCAATATGCACCAGAAGTCCGAAGAAATCTCCACAGCCAAACTGGATAGGATAAAGTGAAAAGCACCTGGAAAAGCTATAAAAGAGTATGATTATCTTCAGAAACATCGTGAGACACAAATCCTCTTCTATTTCATATTCCTTGTGTTTTGAATTTTTTGTGCTAGTGTCATCACCTCCCTTCCTTTTCCAGTATCATCAATCATTTCCACTTTCGGCTGTGCTACTCAAGTAACAGAAAGATCTGACTTCTCGAGATCTCATAGTACTTTTTCAATTCGTGTACTTCTTTAGGTCCAGCGAAGTGAAGACAACACGTGACTGCACTTCTTCATGTGGTTATTGATTTTATTGTTTACCACTTCCATAAGTTATGCAGCCGATCTAGTAAGAATGGGGTGTGATCGCGATTCATCGTTACCATTTTGCAAAATTCACGCAGCAAAAACAAGGCAGAACGAAGATGGAGCACAAAAAGACAAGGTGACAATGCGCCTTCATAATCCGTAAAAAAACGATTTTTTTACTCCGTCATTTTAAGGAAGCTTGTGCCGAGCTACGTCTTGAGTATGTGAAAGTGTGCGCAATGTCCGGGCAACATAAGGTTGATGAAAAAGAACGAGAATTTTGTCAAGCGTTTGAAAACATCTGCTTTAGTATTCCGAAAGAAGAACCAGATCAAGTTACTGTGCCGTAAGTAATTTCATGATGATTGTACGGGAACTTGTAAGTTGATTCTTTTAGCACAGCTCTAGCGAAAGAGCTGAAGAACTTCGATGATGGTGACGAAGAAGACGTAGAAAGAACCACGACGACACGACAGTGAGTCGAACTGTGATCTCTAAAATAACACTTGGATTAGGCTTCTCATAAGTATTATCTCTTGTCACTTTCGTCCACAAGAAATATTTTCCTTGCTCTTCAAAAAATTTAAGCTGATTTTTTCTATAATGAAAGCAAGATCTACAGAACATCATCTGAACATTTGCAAAATGTTTGTTTCACGAGTTCGAAGCCAAAATTCGAAAATTTCTAGATGTTTGAAAATTGAGGAAAAAAAACCTTACCGCGGCTACTAACCTGCTTAGGCATACACTTTCCGATCGGTCATTTGTATACACATTTGCTCATTTTTTCTTTTATTTCTCAAAATCGTAATAATCAACACAACCAGATCATATAGCGGGAATTTTGCTATTTCAGGGGTTTTTGAATTCTGAATCGATAGTTCCCAGAAGTTATCGCCTGCAAGAGGAAGAAAATCTTCCCACTATATGACTACCTATGTAGGAGGAGCTGGCGAATGAAAATCATTGCTTTATGGATTTTTAGCCATGGAGAAAAATAAGCAAAAGTTTATGGAAATGCCAAATGTCCTGAGTGCTTGGCAAATTAGAAATCTGGATTTTTATTGATGAAAGTTGTTTTTCATTTTTCGGGCATTTAGAATTCTTCGGTTTTTAGCTTCGAACTATATACGGAACAAACTTGGTGTAGGTTTTTGAAAATTTTTTATAGGGGCTTCCTTTGCTTTATCCAAATTACCGCAAAATCTTTTCGAAGAACAAAACGACTGTGAGGGTAAAAGTGAAAAAATGCAAGGCAACCTAATATTTTTGACGAAATTTACTCAAAAGAAACAGCCAAAGAAAAATATAGCCGTGGCAGAAGAAGGTCAGGCAGATTTCCAAGTCCAATTATAGACCAAAGAAAAAGAAGAAACGCATCGATTTCACCAAATTCTGCAAAGAATTTAAGAATCGCTATCTGTTCGTCTGTCCAGACCCACTCAGATTTGGACAAAAAGTGAGTCAACATATTGAGTGTTTTTATTTTTCCCCGGTCACCGCAAAGCATACTTCAGGCCGTAGTGTTCTGCCCAATTTATTCCGAACGCTGTCATGTACCCTTACCAGATCGACCAGTAGTTCCAACTAGGAAACCACCGCCTGGAAGAAGAAGCAACACCGTGGAGAGGGTATGCCGAAGCTACAGGTTTCTCCCAAATTGATATTTGTTCTCCAGTCCACCAAAATTTCTCCCTTATGAGTGTATTTTAAGAGCATTTGCCGAGACATACTGCAACAATCCATTCACGCTAAGTCAACCACAGTATCGAGAAGGTTGCGAGAAATATTGGCGATTCTGCTCTAGGAGATATGGGCGATAGACTTTCCTTTGACAGATGTGTGTACATAATGTGTTAAGTATTCCAATAAACTGTTGCAATTCGCAGAGGATAATATTTGCTGTTTTGCTGTTTATGTCTTAAAATAGATAGCATCAATCATCGATCGTTAACAAATCCGGTTTGCGCAATGATGCCAATGCGAGGATAGTCAGGCTTGCGAGAGATTCCTTTTATGAGTCGCTTATTTTTTGTCATCATAATTATTACCGCAACCGAAGCCCAGGGACCCTACTTTCCAAACCATTACTATGGCGCAAATTCCGTGAGTTTTCCAAACACCTGCTCAGCAAAAATTTGACTAATTTTTTCTGCATCACCCCATTTCATTCAAGGCGAACATCCACTCAGGAATTGTCCCGGAATGGGGTCCTATCCCCGTGAACAACGCGGGAACATTGGCACCACACGTATGCGGATTCAATCCCTATACAAGGTATGCATAGACCTGGCATGGAATTGCCTGGGGGAGGGACAGCGCAGGAGTCATTTGCAACACAATCCTAAAAAGTCTCAAGGGCGCAGCAACCCCCTTCAAACGCTAGTCATCCTGAAAAATAAGCACGATTATTTCAAAGCCCTTTTTTTGCTAACTCTTGAAGAAGATGTTTTTTCAACATAGGCGACATAACGGAAGAGAAAGTCACGCACTTCAAATTCATTGTTTTTGTTCAGAAAATGCATGGATCCTGAGAATTACTGCCCTGGCCGCTGTATGAATTTCCGGTATACTTACAATACGCTGTACGACTGTCGATGTCTTGTGATAAGCAAGTAGAAAAATAAGATAAAGCTTCATTGTGACCAAGTCAGACTATCAAAAATATATGTGAACATGTCTCTCTATATTATCTACATCTATACATTTCAATGGTGCTAGTGCAAAGGTGAGCTTGAAGCGAGAATAAAACGAAATCGAAAGGGTGTGATTTACAAATTAAGAGAAGGTGAAACTTACAATTAGTTAGATAAGACTTACTAACAATGCATAAATTATGTGAACGTTATTCGAGAGTTTAAAACTTGTTGAAAGCATTACCAGAAAAAAAACAAGCGAAAATGTACAATTTGCAACATACAATTTACAACCAAATTCAAGGCGAATTGTTGTTAGCATTGAAAAACATGCAGGCCCTGATGGCCTCTCTCTGCATCTGTCTGCGTTGCAGTCTAAGCAAGTAATCTTGGTTCAACTCCAGCGTAATCTTCTTCCTTGAAGGGCAGTACCTGTTGTGGGAAACTTATTAGTCAAGAATAATTTTTCAAAGCGTTGGTACTTTTTGAGAAAGTTCCAGATGGTACACAGTTTTCACGCTCTAGACAGTTATTGGATATGTGCAACAACAATTATATTCTGCAACTCATTCAGATTTGGAAACCAAAATATTGGAAGTGAGACCAGTCCCTTGTGGAATAACATGGAAGCCGACTATTCTCTTCATTCCAAAATTCTGTATGGCACCGGCCAGACTTCGCTTGAAAACGCTAAGAGCGCTCTTTAGCTCTCTTCACATTGCTCTCTCCTCGCACCGCTCAGAGCTAACCTGAAAGCGCCAGCACGCTAGCGCAAAACGTGTGAGGAGAGAGAAGTTTGTGAAGAGAAAACTAAGAAATTCGTGCCCTTTTGAGCGAAGTCCGCGGAAAACCCTAAAATGGCTGTACCTAGCTGAAGTAACCATGAACAAAACTAATAATTCCACTATTTGGTTTTACTTCCAAGTCAAATTTTTGTCATAAAACTCGAAAAAAACGTTGCCTCAAGCACTAGCGTTTGGAAAAAGAGGTAGATAGAATGCGTTGTTAATCAACCTTGAGTCTGTACTACCTATAAACCCGGTAGACTTCTATCTCATTTTTTTTTCTAAGGTTTGGTTGGGACTGTTACACTCTCTAACTGAATCTGGCAGTTCGACAACTTTTTGGTTTTAGTAAATCAAATTGAAGTGAACACGATCAGATCACTTGTTCATGTTTTGGTTCAGTTTTTCCCTCCATCAAGACAGTGTTATTAGTTTAAATCAATTATCAGATCTCTGGAAAGATTCGACCGTTTTGTGAGTCGAAACTTCACATAGTTTACAGAAGATAGAATTTAGTCAGCTTCCTTCTGATGGTGCTATTTTGCATTCGAGATCACTCTCAGTTTCGGTAACTAGCGTTTCTGCCAGCCATAAGCTTTCTTGACCAAACTGTCAACGAAGCAATGGAGTAAGGAAGTCTCTTAGAGATGTTTACTAGGGAGCTCATAAGGACAGCGCGGCCATAGTGTATCCCGCGATCGTAACACTACTACTTAGCCTCGGTTTTTTGAGTTCAGTACCCACACTTGTTGTCAGCGCGACATGAAGCTGCCACTTCCCTTGTTTACTTGTTTTCAGACTGAATCTCTACCGCTACCAAAACCAACTTCTGAGACACAATCTAAGATAAAGCTAACAAAAAGTTCACTTACGTCTCGGTGTGATTGTCGAATCCATCGGCACCACAGAGCGAGCAAGGCTTCATGCTGGATAACACGGGACAAGCGGTCTTAGCATGCCCAGCTGCGGGTTTTCCGACGCTTTTGCAGTAAGCACACTCCTAAACTATTATTTCAAGATAACATCATACAATTCTGATCAACTACTTTGCCGGCTACAGCAGTTCGAGACTGATGCTCAGATTTCATTCCAATCGGGATCGGAGTAGCCTGAAACGGACTAAGCTTCAGCACACTGTAGCAACGACTGTGAACTGACTGCACCTTACCTTTGGCTGTTTTAATTCCTCTGCGGCGCTGTTGCGGGTTTGATTATTAACCGGAACAATAGGAACATAGAGCTTTTCCTGGAAGATACTGGCTAGAAATCAAATAGTTCAGCACTCTGGCGAAGATCCTTCTACGCCAGACGCTCTAGTAAAGTTATAAGTGAGTGACAACCACAAGAAATGAACAACGAAACGTGACAAAGACGGTAAACCACTCAGAATGATGACACGCATCGCAGAAGAAACAATACCGCTTCGTTGCTTACTGCCAAAACTAAGAGAATATTTCTACGTCCGACAAAAATGGAGGCTTATGCGCGGTCTCGAATCAAATTTGTTAGGGTGTGGGTCCCAAAAACCCCTAACGTATACACCTCAGACAATCGCAAAATACTTCCGAGCAAAATTGAACTTCTGAAACTTCCGGAACGGACGCTCCTATTGGGCCGTGTGGGTGGGCCCCGCCTTACCCAGCGCCCTAACTGGTAGCTCCAATATGAGTATCCCGCGGAAGTTTTGGAACTTCAGTTCTGACCAAGATAGTTCTGGTTGGGAGAGAAGCAGATGGTGAGAGAAGCGAAAGAGCGCTCGATCAGAGAGACGCCGATATGTCCGTGTGCTACGAACTGTATATATCTGGCAGCAAAGACAAGAGTTCGGGATAGAGGCTGATATGTGAATTCGTTGCACCAACTAACACCCTTGCGTCCAATAGCTTTTAGCCTAACGGCATGTTGTTAACAAAGATTTCTTACCTGTTTATTCGGAGAATAAGAGAAGAGCTTCCCATAGGTAGCAGCGTAGGGAGGCATCGCGTTGTTGACGGGACTCTACAAAATAATGTTCAATAGAGACGTGTTTATGTAAGCTGGCACATCATCTACAATCACAAAAGACTCGGGATTATCTTGCACGCTGCAATCAAGAAGTGAAACTTGTACGCTAACTTTTTTCGGATGGATTATCTCCTGTAGATGACGGCACTGCCCAAACGGTGGCGCAAAGGAATCACTCGCGGCTGAGAAATCCATCCCCACTCCGCGCCTGCGCCGTGACAGCTCGCGGGTATTTAGAATGGGTCCCAGCGCGAAGGTAAGGATAATGTCAGCAAAGTCAATTCCGGGGGGTGGAGTACGCCGCCGAATTTGAAAGAGTCCTGCGCGGATTCCCTGCAGGAACGCATGTCCGCGCATATACAAGAATGCGCATTTGTCGCAAATGACCGCGGGGACCGCCCCTTTTCGGCGACATATAGTCCCCTACCCCAATTTCGGGGGTCACAGCGCAGGCACGAAGGGTTTGTAGACGGATTTCTCAGCTGTGAATGAATCACTTTCTTGCCGCGTGGGCAGTGTCAGTTAGGACTCCCTCATCAGTTTGCAGGCAAAAAAGCTATGCGCCCAGATTTGCCTGGACACTGCCTCTAAGGCCCGTATGCACGTAAATCCCCGCGGGGAGGGGAGGGGATTTGAGAGGGAAAGCGCTTATCTCGCTAGTTTTTATGTCTTTCTTCTTTTTTCTCTATCTTGCTGTTGAAGGTTCTCATACACTGATATCTGCGCATAACGGATGCCAGGTTATACCATTATAGATTAGATATTCAGCACTTTGTCTGATCCCCTGGGGATCCCCAGGGGATCACCTCACATTTTCAGAGTCATTTATCTTTCTGAAAACTCGATGAAAATGCTATAAAATTCTACTAAGGATATACTACAGCACTGCTAAACATGCTTATGGTAGAAATGAGCGAAATCTCAAGATATCAAAATCTTCGATGAACCGCTGCTCGCGAGCCAAGGATTATCGAAAAAATCGAAATCTTCAGATTCCATTTCTTCTGTTGAAAATATGCTCAGCAGTATCGTAGTATATCTTCAGTACATTTTGCAGCGTTTTCATTGAGTTTTCAGGAAGATAAATGACTTTGAAAATGTGAGGTGATCTTCTGGGAATCCCCAGGGGATCAGACGAAATAGTGATTATCTAATCTTGTATGGCAGTAACCTGGCATCCGTTATGCGCAGGTATCAGTGTATGAGAAACTTCATAAGCAAGATAGAAAAAGAAGAAGAAAGATATGTAAACTAGCGAGATATGACGCCTCCACTCTCAGATCCCCTCCCCTCCCCGCGGGGATGTACGGCATACGGGCCTAAGGGCCGCATGCACTAATATCCCTGCGGCGACGGGAGCGGCGTCCCCAATGATGAAAAAGCCGCAGCGGCGTCCGCACGCGGTCCCTCCATAACGGGGGACGCCGCTCCCCTCGCCGCAGAAATGTTAGTGCATACGGGCCTAAGTGTTAATTCGACGAAATCTAGCCAAGAGGATATTTTCGGCAGAAAACATTCAAAAATGCGAAAAGGATATCTTGGCGTTATGGAATGAGACGTCAGTGCCTTTGCGTGCAGTTACGGTGAAGTGACTAGATTGATGGCACCTACTATGAAACGTTTAAACATACCAAGGTCCGCCAACTTCACGACTCAGGGGCCTACACGATTTGTTGGGACAATTCACCTTAGGGTGAACAAAGCCAGCGTATCTTCAGCTACAGGACAGACGTGCTTTCGTATCGCACAGCGCTAGTACTAAGCACAGCTGGTCAATCGACTTTAGTGACCATCAGTTGTCTGCCTACTTTATATTTGCAAGACGAATACCTAAACTACCGTAGTAGGTGGCAATCCCGACCATGTGTCAGCCTCAGGAGAAATGAGAAAAGCGCGAGCGGTCTTGTACGGAAATGCGGCGCCCCGGGCAGTCGCCAGGGATATGGCGGTTTGCCAAATGTCTTTAAATTCAACATAGGTCACAAACCCATGTTGTATACACTTTTGCGAACTGTTAAAGCCCTATCTTTTGTTCATATGCGCTTACGATTACGAACTGCCAGATCGCGTGGCAACTGAGGCCGCATACATTAACATCCCTGCTGGGGAGAGGATTGCAGCTTAGAAGAAAAGCTTTATATCCTGAAGCTCCAGGTATCTGGATTTCACGCTGTCTACCTATCCATAAGTATTCCTACCATCCTTCACTATGAACATATTGAATGGGAGCAAGAAGCTGTACGAGCCGAATTTTCCAGCTTTTTGTATGATCCCCTAATAATCCCCGGCGGCCGACCGTCTTTTCTTCGATGTGATTTTTCCTTCTTCGCAGTTAGCGAAAACTTCTCGAAGATGTGCTATTTATCTAACGTAACAGCGCTAAGCATGTTGATGATGAGAACAAATGAGTTTTCGGAAAGTCGAATTTTTCGTTAAACTCCAACTTTCAACCAGTGGTTCATCGCAAATTTCGTAACTCCAAAACATCATGTGTACTTATCAGCAACATGTTTAGCACTGTTGTGTTAGATAATCTGTACAGCTTTGGAAGTTTTTCGTTACTTTTAAGGGAAGAAAAACGACTTTGAAGATCGCCGGGGATCACAAGGGTATCATAAAAGGCTGGAAAATGCGGCTTGTACAGCTTCTCGCTCCTTTCAATATGTTCATAGTGAAGGATGGTAGGAATGCTTACGAATAGGTAGACAGCGTGAAATCAAGAAGTTTGGAGCTTCAGCATATGAAGCCTTCTTTCAAGCTGCGACCCCCCCCCCCCCCTCCAAGGTGGGGATGTTAATGCATGCGGCCCTGAGTTCGCGGAAGTATGACCACGGCTGATACCGTTACTACCGGCGAATAGGCCTACACCCCGTACCATACAGGTCACACATGTACATACTTTAAGCGTCATGTATGTGCGAACAAGACCTCCTCCTAGCTTGGAAAGTCTTCATTTCTTTCACAGTTTCCGTTTCCTCCGCGCAACCAACCGAGACGATATCCCCTTTAATCGATATCAGGTATGGGCACAAGAAAATGGCTGTGTCAGTTGCCCTGGCTTGTTGCCAACTTTGGTTATGATGTTCTCTCAGGCCTATCAAATTTTGCCAGACTCCCTCCTGTTCTCACGATAGCACTGCATTGCGAAATTATATATTACTTTTGAGATTTTTCAGAATTCGCTCGTGCACTGCGACAGGGTACCTCCAAAAAAAACCAGCGGATTTCGTCATTTCTCAGTAAGTAACTCTTCCGTCACTGAAGTTTGAAAAGCTCTAAGATTGAATGAATGCTGGCGTGCACATATGTCTTTTTTTTCTTGATATTCGAGCGAAAATGCTCCCAACTAAAACTTTATAAGTCTCCTTTTCTTATATCTATTGAAGGAAGTAATACCTTCTTCCTTCCCTTTTAGTGCATAAAAGTACTGGGAGGATTGTATTTGGCTGAACTTCACAGAAGTTGAAGTGGAGAAGATTCTATCACGATTTTGCTATTGGTTTTTCCGTGAATTTGTACTTGTCATTAAATCTTTTCGAGATTTATATTTTCACCACCGAGATATATTTCTGTTTTTCTCTCGACACAAATGTCCACAAACCTTAAGAATGGGTTCCGGCATTTTGCGTCTGTAGTCAGTCGGTTGGTTCCATAGTGCATGTACGGCGGAGTACTAAAATGTGCGTATATATCTAGGGATCTAATAGAGATCGCAAATGAAGCCTACATCGGTATGATACTTGCTTTGCTTGATCGTATCACCTGAAACAACACACAGTATCTCACGCAATTTCTTCGAAAAGTTTAGTCATTCTCACAGCGACAACATTAGATGCATATTACTTGATCAACATAGTTCAGTTTTATTTAGTCATTGTTTTAGCATTCGCTTGATTTTTGAATATTTTGCAAGGCTTTGTAGAAGAGAATTTGATCTTCCTAACGCCACTTTTGCTTATATGTCGTCTGTCCAATTTACCACCAAAAAGGATCTTTTTTTCTTCCTGGCGCCAGTATTTGCACACAACATGCAAATTCCTATATATCTTAATTGGTCCCAAAAGAGCCTGTCAACTTGAAAATCTGCAGATGACTTGGAGTTTGCATTAAGCGCGTATTTGGGGCACGGGTCGATGCTAGGTTCTTCGCGCTTGGATGATGGGCCCAAAAGATGTGCCTAGACATCACCTAAACAGAACATGCAGTAATCAGAAATTTGGCCTATTACATGCAAAAAAGTTGAGTCTTAGCTCAAAATCGGGCATTTTGTAAAGTGCGAAAATGGCCGTTTTGATCTTTCTGCGAGAAAAATTATGCATATAGATTCCTATATATAAGTACCGCGCATGAAGTATAAGTACTGCGTATGAAGTTTAAAGTTTACGGTGCTTATTATGCTTAGGTATCTTGCGCAAAAATCGATTTTCAAGTGCTTCAGCACACTGGCCAAAATGAAGTGCTGAAAATTTTCATGAGCGGGCCAGGTAGGAAATACTACCTTTGCAACGATAGTTGCACTTTTCGAAAAGAACCATCCTGCTTATATATAGGAGTCAGCAAGTGCCTCATAAGTTTTTTTACGACTTTGATCTGGACGAAATTTTGCTGGAAAAAGATACTGGAGAGTTGAACATCCCGTTCACTATCTGGCTGTGGCGAAAAAATTCTGCCTCCAAGTGCATTAACGGCCAAACCTATCAGCTATTTGTATGACTGAAATCCATCACTAATGTTCTTCCTTTCATAGTTTCCCAAGTATGATCGTTAGTCTCTCTTTATACTCTTCTCATCCTTGATTAACCCCCATGTACCTCTTCCCACAAATTGCTGAGTCAATGCAATCGGCTGTCCCGGCCCCGTTGAACTATAGATCTTTCGCACATGACAGCGGCGGGGAGCTAGACCACCGTATACCACACAGATTTTGAGATGATGGTGCACTTCAATCGATATGATGACTAGCATAGTAGTGAACCTCGAGATTTTCATATACTTTCTCTTTCTCATCAGATACTCTTTTTTTTTTCAAAGAAGGTTTTGGTCCGCCCAACCTCATCTGGTCTACTCAGGACAATACTTCAGTTTTTGACCAATTTCCCACTTTTGCTGTTTTCATTTCATGGAAGTAAACGCAAGCATTTCAATGTGCGGATACTATCTAATGTGTTTCCATAGGCCCCTTATAAAATAGACTTACTGTATAGATCCATTGCAGAGAACTTCGAAGGAGACATTGCCCAGGTCTTGCTTGGGAATGGAGCGATAGAGTTGACCATCATGTTGTCCTAATTAATCTTGCCCTAGATCACACTTAGCATTGACAACATTATAACTTCTTGAATGTATTACAGTACCAAAGCAGAAACTATAGTGAGCAATTAGCAAGATCGATAGGAGCAATGGAACATGCAAATGACCTTAGAGGGGAGAAGCGTGAGAGGCGAGGTGCGAAGGCTCCGCCCATGATGTCCTATGGATAGACGCCGGCCACAGCTCGTTACAGTACACCGCGCTGAAAGTGAGAATAGTGAGAAGAGTGTCATATTGATCCAAATCTTTAGTTAGGGCAATTCTCAATTGTGTACATACATAATTAATGGCATACAACAAAAATAGACCTCGCGGTCCTAGCCCGACCAGTCGCATGCCTTTCAGGGCTACGGTAGTTGTGCCATCCTGCGGGAGACTTGCAAGTTAGCGGTAATGATAGTTGGTGTCCTTTTAAATCTTTCTTGAATGGACTCTCACTTTAAGCGTTTGGCCGGTAGGTTGTAAACTGTAAATTTGCATAGTCTTTGTTAGTGGTGTTAATCCGCACAGGTTCTTGAGTAGTTTTGGGATGGAAGCAATGGAGAGGGGCTATTCGTCCCATTATTTGATGTAACAGTAAAGAGTTTATAGCAATTCCAAACATAGGTGAGTTTAAAGTAGCGACAACTAGTGTTTTCGTAGCTTATCCCCGTATGAGGAGAAGTATCTTTTAGCAGTTGCGTTCAAAAGTGGTGGCCTAGATTTCGCCGCTATCACAGAACATTATTGAAAGGTTTTGTTTTTTTTTTCATGAAAGGTTAACACAAATTTTCAAGCTGATTAAGATGACAATGGGAATCATTACCAATCCTCGTAGGTCATGTTCGTGCCAGGTCAGCTGCCTACCATCTCCTCAGACAAAGGCTGCAGAGCTAGTATCTATATATCCTGGTCCATAAATGATTTGTTTTCCACATACCCTCTTTTTCAACATACCCTCGCAAACAATATGCTCAACCTTCAAAATGCTGCTTCATTGGTGACTTCTCTTTGAGGAAAGATGGAAAGTTGGGAATACTAGTAGCTGGTATTCTCTCTTCCATCTTTCATCCACTGGATCTAGACGTTAGCTCTTATTTAATCTTAGATACTGTAAACGGTACGTCTAAATAGCATTCGGTAGTGGTGTTCATATTCCCAGATATTTTTGGGAACTTTTATAGCGGAACAACGTCTCGAAGATGGAAACTGCAAATCTATCGGTGGCAGCGTTGAGCCATCATTTTTAAGCATGCGTGAATCTGGATGTAGCTGTTATGGTTTCTGTAGCTTTTTGCGGGCAACAGTTGAAAATTAGTGATTTTCAGTTGATGACTTTGCCTTTGCCCCTCCGCTGAATAGGACACTATTAATGGATTTGAATTTTGGAAGATAAGCTGATTACTGACGAATATCTTCGTGTAATCAATGGTCTCATGTGCGGAGATATGAAAGGTAAAGACGAAATTTTGACATTTATTGAAGTAAGACTTGGAAAACTCATCTTCTTTTCGTAGTCCACTTCGCAGTTTCCTGGATGAGTTCCAATCAGCAGTGGTGATCGCCACCTTCTCTATCGTCGTACCAGGTCATCGTCGTGCCAGATTAGCTGTCTAAAATTTCCTCAATAAGGTACAGAGGCATTACAGAGCCTTGAACATCAATCAGTAAATGGTCACAAATAATATGTTTTCGATTTCAGGCTCGGAATAGTGGCTTCCTTATTAGGTGATGGCGCTTTGCTCCTTCTGATTAGGTGATGGCTGCTTTGCTTGGCTGCCGTACAAGGTCATCGTCGTGCCAGGTTAGCTGCCGTCATTTTCTCAGTTACAAAGGATTACTGAGCAATCAATCCATAAATGGTCACGAACAATATGCTTTCGATCTCAAGCTCCAAATAGTGTCTTCTTTAGATAGGTGATGGCTGCTTTGCTTGGCCTCTACACAACCAACTCGCAATGATCGTCAGATAATTGATGATTGTGAATGGTCGAGTGGAGTACCTTTAGCATTAAGTAAGAGGAACTTGTGCATAGTTACATAATACAGCGATGCCAGTTTGGGATGCAGTATATTGTCCTCGATAGGTTTCACCTTTATAAAGCACTGCGTATCTTATCGTGTGCTTGCAGGTTTAGCCTTAGATGTATTCTAATCATACACCTGTTGATTGTGGAATTTGCCTGTGGCATTTGCTAGATAAAGCGAGGGTAGCTCTATCTCTGCATTCGTTTCAAATCGAACACTTCCTTGAAAATTGAAACCACCAAGGAATCAGCAGGGTCCGAGAGTTCGTCTGAATTCTATGTGTGCGTTATGCGGTGCATATTATTCCTTCAAAAAGCGTCTGCGAATAAGATGCTGAGACAAGGAAAACTGTTTACTATAAGTTTTGAGGCTTTAAAAGTTGTTTTTGATTCAGAGATAGCAGCAGCTTGAAAGTTTGATTTCTGATTCATTAGTAACTCTCTAGATTCATTGAAATGGTGAGAATGTAATTGAAATCTAGGACTCAAGATGTGGTACTATTACAGCATCTCTGCAAAACCTGTGACATGTTCGCAGTCCTTGAAGCTTCTGACACCAGATCTCCGATGGTGATGTGTTTGAAGTCAATGTGAATAGTAAGAAATTATCATTGTTCATCCAAATCCTTTCCTTTTGTCATGATGAAAGTCTAGTGTACATTTTTGAGAAGTTACCTGTTGTCCTCAGTTCATTGATTGATTAATTGCTTAAATGGGTTCGAAGGTCTTCCTAAAGGTACTACACAACTTCTTACGAATTTTAAGCCTTTCGAATCTTGAAATCGCATTTTGAGGAGCACTGAAAAAATCGCTGTTACAGTTACCGGGGCATTTATTCTTGATGGCTCTAAACCCTCTTAGATTTCCCACTGTATCTATGTAATGAAGAGCGATGGGTGAACCGCTCCGTACTGTGAATCGTGTTGAAGCCAGACATGCGCAGTGATACCTTAAAATTTGGCAAGAGACTCTGTGGAAAGAGAGATATTAACCAAGAGAGAAAAATTTTGGGGCATCCTGTTGTGCATGATGTAGCTGACAGATGCGGCTGGCAGTCGTTATTTCCGTAACATCAATGACGTTAATTTACGCATCAGGGCAGTCATCGTTACACATGCTTTATTCTTCGGGGATGGTAATTGGTGCCAGGTTGGATTGGGTGGTTTAGCAGTAACCGGCTGACTACCGGAGTCATTAGAAAAGTTGATAGCATTACTAGTTGAAAAAAAAAACTAACTTTTCTCGCAGAATCTGTGTGAAGAACAACGCTTTCCTTATGAGACTAAAATCCTTATGAACACAATGTAAGCGTGTAAGCGCCTACAAAAGTTGCCTGCGTATTGCGAGTCTAATATAGTGGAAAGTGTATCAAATATAAGTTCTAAATGTTTATGGCTATGACGGCGACTTAGACTTGGTACACAGAACTTCGCCTCCAACAGGCAGTTGTAGACAGTGTTAATGCGGCTACCGCCACAAGTTGGTAGTGATTAAAAGGTGCTTACAGGATTACCATGCACCACATATGCTGTGGAGCATTCAGTAACGTGCTTTTGTTGGATACCAAAAATCTTGATGACTTAGGATAGATCAACGTGAGTATCTAATTTCCATCATCATGTTTAACTTATTTTGATGATAATTATCAAGTTTACACATTGGTAGCCATTTGTTTTCCGCACGCCTTTGATTGATCATGTTATGGATACAAAGGGGGGTCACCATGTTCGCCCTGAACATAGCACATGTTACTCACGGTTGTTACGATTTATAAACGTTGTGGTATTTTCAGTTTTTTCGTTCAATTCAGCAAGCCTAAGATTTGCAGATGATTCGTGCTTCATTGTTAGCTCTTGTTATCTTGGGATCTTCATTTTCTATGAATGTCCTCGTTTGGAGTCCTAGTATTGGTCATAGTCATGTGCGCTTCATGGGTAATATAGCTGACATCTTGGTTAAGGACGGATACAACGTGGTAAATTCACTTTGGGGTTAACACGCCCGAGTTTACAGTCGAGTAGTTTTTGTTTGTTTTGTATTGGAAATCTTCTGTTTTGAGGAGTATTTGCTTTTAGCGTAGTAACAGTAGAGTTTGTGTAAAATACCACTCTTCACTCCATGTCTCTCAGACTGTATTCACGCCAATAATGGATCCTCATGTGCATGTGATTGGCCATCAGTCAGCTACAAAACAGTTACTGTTTCAATCTAAATACTACGATCCAAATGAATGGCTCACACTTGAGTAAGAAATGCTAAGTCCCTGGTGGAGATATTTATTCAGTTTTGATAATTTTAGCTTTAAAGGCGGGTTTTGGGAAGCGCCAAAGGTGGAAGGTCGCTGTATGAACATGGATGATATGGATAAATTCAGAGAATTGAATTACAAAATATGTAAAGGTGCGAATAATTCTATGCGGTCCAAACCAGCGCTTGAAATCATTAGTTAAGGTTTGTTGGACGATGCTACAATACTCAGTACTCTTCGAGACTGCCATTTTGATATTGCACTCCATGAAATGTACGACTACTGCGTCGTAGCTATTCTTGAGGTATTGGTTGTAAAATTTTGACAGTTTTCATAAGTTTCCATGTATTTTATTGCTGTCAATGTCGTTTTCAACATCGCATAGAATGAATCAGTCAAAATGCTATCTGCAGATGATTGGCATCAAAAATACCATAGTCGTTTCGGCACTGGGCGTCACTCCACATGTGCAAACGATTGCAGGATTTCCATCGAACCCCAGTTTTGTTCCGGGTAGGAGTGTCTGCATTATTTAGACCGGCATTCTCATCACAAAATAGACATCCTTGTTATATGTAGAGAGCGAAGGTTCGCGTCATCTGCAAAATCTTACTTTAATTTTTTGAAGATAGTACGAAGGCATTTCATTAAGGAATGCTCACCACCTATAGTGATGAGATGTCCTTTTGGGAACGTTTGGATAATTTCAAATTGGGTATCGAAACGCGCAGCAGTGACGCTGACGCTGAAAGGGATATATGGAACTTGGTTAATGAATACAGACCTGGTTTTCCTGATCTGTCATCACTGGTGAAGGTTTGTTAGTTAAAATGAATGACGTATCATTCATTCTACGACTAGGAGACGCGAGACCGCATTGCACACATTGTCTAAACAAGATTAATTGTGTACTCAGCAAGTGTATACTTGTTATTAATCTCGTCCAGATTTATTCACTCTTTGGAAACAGGGAAGAACAAATTTAAACTTGTTAAGACAATGTCCGCAATGCGGTCTCGCGTCTCCTAGTCAAGGAATAGATGAAGATAGGGCGCATGCAACTGTTTGCGCCACCAAACGACAGAATAGATGGCGTCTGTTATTTACAAGGATGAACAGAAAATCTCTTTACCGGGTTCATCTCTTCTGTGCAGCACTATCTATAGCGCATTTTTATACATATGAGAATGAAATAGTTGTCTTACTAGTGTATGGCTGAGTTTCTCAGCAAACATTGTTCCTATTCCAGCAGAAAACCGGAGTTGTTTTGTTGAATTCCAATGAAGTGACCGAAACTCCTCGACCAACAGCAAATATACTGCGTTATATCGGTGGAGCGACTCTTCATGAGCCGAAGAAGTTGCCTGTGGTAATTTTTTACGTTATTAGCTGTTTTTTTGTACGAGTATTCTAGGAACTTGATGCGTTATTGGACGAACGTCCCAAAACCGTTTTGTTCTCCTTGGGTTCTCTTGCTCAGTCAAAGGACATGCCTTTGAGATTGAAACAGGGTAAAGCTGTACTCAAAAAAAATCATTCGGTTCCACCAGTGCCAGACTTTACTTGCTTCAAATCCTCTCGTGATTGCTCATTATCTTGGGTAGCTCATTGGCTATAATCTATGCAGTAGGCCAATGACCTTCTTTACGAAAACAACAAGCGCGCTTACGTTCCGTATACCCCTGAGACGTTATCCACCTCACTAGTAGTCATGGGTCAGGGGGGCAGTTATGGAGCAAAGCTACGAAGGTAAAAGGTGTTCAAGAGAAGAGGAATACGGGAATTAGTAGAGAGGACGGAAATTTCCCGTCAATGACTTTTCAAAAGATTTCTATCCTCAAAATCCGCTTATCTTCCACATTTTAACTTTTAACCTAAGGAGAATATGAAGAATGGCTCAATCCGCTCGGTAGCGCTATCTCTTCTGCGACTGCAATTAGGAGCGACGCAACGCAAAAGGCCCTCAGGATATACCGCAAGTGAATGCGGCGTAGCATTGCTCCATAACGCCACGCCGCCCATGGGTCATGCACCCGATAAGGGTCATTTTGCGGCAAGCCGTGGAGTGAACTTGTTCTAGGAAGCTCAATATGTTACATTGTATCATAGATTTGGTGAAGGGCGACCAATTCACTATTTGTATTGTCGTCTTTGTAACATACTTTTCTGATTTAGAAATAATAGCTGCTTTTGCTTCTTTTCCCAACACAACTTTCGTATGGAAATATGAGGAGGAAAATGATGCTTTACTCTTTGAAAAATATCCAAATATTCATACTATGAAATGGGTGCCTCAAACTGATTTGCTTGGTGAGTCGTTTTTTTTCTGTCGATAAGGTACCGTAACACCGTATTTGTTTCCAGCTGACCAGCGGCTATCGCTATTCATCACGCATGCCGGCATGAATTCTGTTCTTGAAGCCGTGTTCTCTGGCAAACCTATGGTCGCGATTCCACTCTTCGTAGATCAGATTTTGAATGCTAAAAATATGCAAAGCCGTGGTCTAGGTGTCATGGTCGATAAACATGATCTTAATAGGGACACGCTAATCGCGGCACTCCGTGCAACACTGTTTGCTAATAGGTTAGTTTTTCCTTTTGCTTGACGTAATTCATCTTCAATCTGCCTTCAGCACTTATGCTCGCAAGGCAGCGAGCGTAGCCAAGTATCTTCATGGACGTCCAGCTGCAGCTCGCGCAGAAATTTCCCACTGGGTGAAGCTAGTTGCAGAAGAGGGCCTTTTGGACCATTTAGTCATGAGATCTAGAGAAATGTCCTTCCTAACATACTATTGTATAGATATCATAGCGTACCTGGGTGTTCAGTATATAATTATCTTTTTTCTTTTATACAAGGCCTTGAAATTTGTTTACATACAAATCTGCAGATTTATTATAAAATTCAAAGCAGAATAAATGATTTATTGACTCTGAAAATTCAGGCTTAGTTGTGTTTTATGAAATTCACCTAACTACTCTGTGGCCGTTAAACTTCTATGGTCTGTTATACTCATCTCTGAGTAAGAAATTGAAATTGAAATCGAATTCAATCTAGTCATCATCTCAGTTTAGTTTTCTGATAATGACGATGCCTTCTGATTGGTGTAGCACCTGTCTGAGCCTTTTGAATTTTACCGTCCTCAAATCATCGCACAATTAGTATTGGAAGTGTTGTCAAGAACTTTAAAAAGCTCAGGAATTTCATTGGAGTAAAGCTATATGGTCTGATCCCCCCCCATTTTTGCTTCCTAAATTCCTATAGTCGAGTAGATTTTCCGTTCAATTAAGTGTGCTTGCGGTGACGAGAAAATGCGCTAAAGTTTGCAGGTATCTAACCTTATCGCTAAACAGGTAGCTATGTCCAGAACATGCGACCAGCGATTTAAGGGTGTATGCCAAGATGAACGATAGCTGGAAATAAGCATACTGTATTCGTGCGGTTGTCAATATACCGCGCCTAAAGTCTTATTTTTTGAAGTGATGTTCTCCACTGGGTTGAAAATGGTGTCGAACAGTAAAAATAAAGCGGTATCGAGCTCCCAGCGTTTTTTCCAAAATTTTAAATATCATCATAGCGTAGATATAGAACCTAGAAAATATTTGACCTACGCAACGCATATGGCTGGCACAAAATATCGTTCATGTTGGCTGCCCCTCGCGATTCAATAGTCGCGATTTCGTCGCTCTGATGGTACATCATTTGAGCGAGTTATTCACTGAACATTTGTCCTCCGGTTTTGCCATAAACACTTTAATTCTCAGAACACATGGCTGACTACTAAGCTGGAAGTTAAGTGTGGTTTGAATAATCTCTTTGGAGTTCTCGTGTTTTTCAAAACTCCAAAAATTTTTTACCTTCAGCATCAGTGAAAGGTTTCATGTCGTAAAAAATCTGCTTCGTATCTCATGATCATTTGAAAATTATTCTCACCATTCACGAATCCTGATTTGTGTGACCGGCCACAGCCAGTGCTCAGTTGCTGTATCGTCCAAGTGCCACGATCTCAATAAGCGGCTTACATGAAAAATCTAAGCATTCAGAAATCTTTGGTAACAATCGAGAAATCTAACTTAAAGGTAGAAGCACGTCGTACGGACGTTAGAGATATGATCATGCAGCGTCCTTCCATTTTTGGTTATTTCCGTGATTTTTCTTCCTTTTTCCAAGATGTTCTCCAAATTCAAATATTTTCCAATTGATTTCTCGAGCCTTTATTCCTTTGTTATGCGGCTACCGATTGTGAGTCTTACAATGCCGGAGCCGATAATGTAACGCAGCATCTGTGGTTGTGCCACCTCTTTCTGCTGCTCATACTTCATTCCTACGAAAATCGAATCCGAGAGGAAACAGGTGCTAGGTTTTCCGAACTCGAGGGAAATGAGGCCTTCAGAATGTTTAAATTTTTCTGCGAGCATAAAAATAGACGAAGAAGTTGTCAATCAATTGAACAGTCGAATATCCAACCTCCAGTCGTTCATTCAAATCTTCAGAATTTGAAATTTATCAATACAAATATTATAATGAACCGAAATACAATACGAACGCTTTCGAATATCAATATGCGATATTCGCTCGATCGTAAAAATCCCCGAAAGAAGATCTACTAGTTTATAGCAGTGGCGGAAATTAGCGAAATTGAAAGTTACTTATTTGGGTTATGAAAATATGCTGACTTGTTTATATTGAAAACTAGCTGGCTTACCCGGTTGCGTCTGGCCCTGCCAAAACACTATGGTATCGAACCCATTCCTATCCCCTATACAACCTTTCGTGCCCACTTCTACATGTCAATTCCCTATTGCCGCTGTGTTAGTAATCAGCATGCTCGACCCCCATGTGCCTCCCAGCCTCGTAGCTCAAACTTCGCAAAAAAATCGGTAAGATTGATGAAACTAATGGACGATTTTAAAAACTAATATTGTAATCGTAATCAGCATGCTCGATTACCCCCCCCCCCCCCCCTGTGTGCCAAATACTCAGACAATCGCTGGGGGCAGGCGGGCACCGGAAAAACAGATTGCTGATTTCTCGCACCCCGCTCGCGGATTTTTTGCAAAGCAATCAGAACTTTTCGGAAGACCGCTTGCTGAGTCAGCGGATTTTTAAGAGACCGCCTGTTGAATTTTTTTCGCTCTTATCTTTTGCAGATATATTGCTGAATCTCTGGGAAATCGAGAACTCAGGAAGCGGTCTTCCGAAAAGTCCTGATTGCTTTCCAAAAAATCCGCGAGCGGCGTGCGAGAGATCAGCAATCTATTTTTCCGGTTCCCGCCTGCCCCCGGCGATTGTCTGAGTATCCCGGTCCCGTAGCTCAAACTCAAAGAAATCGATAAAATCGATAAAATTAAGGGATAAGATAATTTCAAAATCTACTATTGTATTCGTAATCAGCATGCTCGATTACCCCCCTGTGCCAACTCCCAGCCCCATCGGTCAAACTTCACAAAGAATTCATAAAAATCGACAAAATCGATATCGATCGATAGCGAAAAGTGGCCTACGACACCCACCCCACCCCTAAGTGTATGTGTGCCAAGTTTGGTCCGATAGGTTCAGAAATGGGATTTTCTATTCAGAACATACGTTCAGACAGACATATATACTGACAGACAGACAAACAGACATTCCACTTTATATATAAGAAGATAATCAAAATCAATTCCAAAGTGGCTCCTGCCATGCTCCCTTTTTCTGAAATTCCGGGGTCTCGGGCCCGAAAAATTTGGGAAGCACCCCAAAAGATTCTTCGGAGTGTGAGGAGTGCCAAGCATCTCCATCCGAGAATATTTTCGTCCGTCTTGGGACCGCCACTGCAGTATAGGTAGCAGGCCAATGTACATAGTGAAGTGCATTAGTTGTGAAGACGACTCCATACTTCCGGTTCCCATAAATCTTTCCCTTCGATTTTCGTGTCTTGTTAGGTAGAGGTTTACAATAGGTTTCAGTGAAAAGAATTTCATCTCACTATCAGTTCATCGCCTTAATGTTATCTTGTACTTTGTCGCGTAAGTGTTTACACGAACAAGTTTTTGCTCGCCGTCTCACAAAGGCCGTAGTGTGCCTTTATACAGCATGCTGTGCTTTCGATAATGACACTTATAATTAGTTGATGTTCTAGGTTGGAAGTAGTGCTTGCAAAAAATGCGCAGTTGTTTCGTTGTATGCGTCCAGTTATCGTACACACAACCCTAGAACTTCACCCACATCACGAACACAACATTTCCCATCAGGACGGTATCATCTGAGCCCCGAATCGTTCCGAAAGTGAGCGAAGAAGAGAAAGAAGTAATGGGTTTTAGTGCATGATTAGTGCTGTTTGGTAAATCAGTCCACTCGCTACCTCACTCCTAATTTTCTTTCCCCTCCCCCCTCATCAATCCTGGAAAGGAAGAAAAAACTAGAGGGGGGGGGGGTAGGCCGCACGTGCTGAATTCGAGCTGTTCTGAAAACAACACCATATTGACTTTGCAAAATTTTCCCAAAGTTCACCTTGAAGCATTGTGAAATAAGATAGGGGCTAAGTACAGTATACAACTAGAACCTAATTTGTTTCAGAATTGCACTGAATGGGAAGAAATATCCAAGTCTATTCTAAATGCATTCAGGAATTACTAGCCGATACTCGTATTACTCCAAACCAACAGTTGGTTTGGTAAGTCTTGGAAATCATCAAATTCGAGAACAGGAATTACAGCAGAAGTTTAAGGAATTCTGTCAAACATAACATTATTGTCAAGCATACTGTATTGTGATCTATTTGCATATTTTTTCCATTTCGTGCAATCGTTTTCGTTACTTCTCCGTCATTCCGTAAACTTTTTTCAACCATGACAGTGGTTTCTACCATCTGCTCCACCATAGCGATTTTTGCGCACTGAAGTCTATGTACCATCGGCTCCCCAATTGCCGCGAGGGCGGACCCGGGCGAGCGTATCAGCGATGCGGTTGCCCTGTGTTGAAACATAGTTGATAAATTGATTATCGGTTGACCATCGCGACCGCCCTCGCCGCAATCGGGGAGACGATGGTAGTATATTTTGCACGATACAGAGTGCTTGTGATGTCGAAATGGTGCGGTAAAATTTGCGCGTGAACAAATAGCTACACCTGTGATGCCGGTCACTTGCGCGCGCAAGATGCCAGCATTACTGGTGCCATCTGTTCACACGTAAATTTTACCGCAAGATCTTGACACGCGTCACACTATATAAAGCGGATCTAGACTCTACATGAAGTGACTGCACTTTTTGATCAAAAAAAAATCTTTTTATAAAAATTTTTGGGTTATAGGACCGCTGGTATGGCTAAGGCCATGATCCCTCACTCGAAAATTTTTTTCTGCATTTGGTAGTTACCTCCATCTTTCTGCCTGCGCTTTCTATTTTTGGTAGGTAGTGTAAGTCAAAATCGATCAAACAGTTAATTTGCTCAAATATAAAGCTGTTAACGGAATCTGATAATAATGTTCATGTGTATTTCGGGAGCTTATTCACTTACAGTCTATGAATATTCGCAAAAATAGCGTCTATAGGGAGCTTTATGATCTGTTAAGCCCTCTCGCAGTTTTGTGTTGCCTTGTCTGTCTCTACATCCTCAAATCTTTTGATCGGAAAAAGAAAGAAGAAAAAAGAAGTAATAGAAACTGTAGAAGCAAAATGGCTTTTCAGACACCTGGATAAAGCACAATTGACAAAACCTTTACTCTATTAATTGTTCGTACTGTGCTCATTAGCACGGATTGGCGCATTGTTTTCAAAGTTATTTATGGAAGATCCGAAAATATAGGTATACACAATAGTAGCCGTTCATTCCACATCGTCGTTAGTACCCGGATAACACAGAGTCCAAATCATCCTCTGATCTTCTGAAACTCAACTGTTCCTTCCGCTGATCTCTTCTGATAGTAAGTCAAGTCTCACTTTGGATTTGTCTCGGTCAGATCTTCTCCCATGAGTGAGTAATAGAGGCCTACAGGGAATCTTCTGGAAATAAAGGTATGTGTACAGTTATCAATTGTAAAAGACAAGTTGAAAAGAAGCTCTAACGCAGCAGTCTAAAAAAGTGCTGTTAAAGGCAACAAACATCAGTTAATTTTCTGACCAGGAATTCGCAGCATAGGCTTCATCTGATTCAGAAAGCAGAGTGATTTTAGTTAGAATCCATAGTTTTCGAATATGGCTTTAGCTAGAATCCATAGTTCTCGCATAAAATAGTGTAAATGAGTGGAAAAACTAAGAAAAGGATGCAATCATCACGTAGGATTGTGAAAGCGAAATCTCAATTATCTGACTAACCCTCATTCCCCCCCCCCCTATTGGAAGAAAATTCACGATGAAGTCATGACTTACTTGATTGGCCGAGTGATGTAATTGTTTGCAAATTCGTCATCATTGAATCGCCTGAAATACGTAAATCAGTCTTGTAGCCCTATGGATACAGTCTATAGAAGAACAGGTTTTCATGATTTTGGGTGTCCCAAAACTGTACCGAACGTTTATGTTTCTAGTGTATGCGGGTCTTCAGGTTGTAGGATTACGATAAAAACTTTTCATAGGGATTTATCATCTATTCTATGACTAGGAGACGCGTGACCGCATTGCAGACATTGTCTTAGCATGTTTGAGTTTGTTCTTCCCTGTTTTCAAAGAGTGAATATATCTGAACGAGATAAATGACAAGTATAACCCTGCTAAGTACACGATTAAACTTGTTTGGACAATTGTGCAATGCGTTCTGGCGTCTCCTAGTCATAGAATGAATGGAATGATAGAATAGAATGGAATAAAACGACACTTGACTAAGAGCATATATTGCTTCAGGAGTCTGAAAGAGCTGAGAACAATACCAGGATGAATAACGGTTACTGGCGCCATTATGAGCTTTTCGCTTTTGAACTTTCGTTTAGATGTGACGACAGGTATGTTGTTGTTGTTTCCCAGCAATTCTAATCTGGTCATACCATCTAAACTGCTCTACAAAAATGTGAAAATTTATCTACCAGAAGTAAGGGGTACAAAAGTCCTACCACAAATGTTCACAGACGTTTCTTTTCTATGCTGCCAACTGATACGCTTGCCGGCGCTGAGCCAAAGTTTCTACCGTAATCTACAGTAAGAAAGAACGATTTAAAATTAGTTTTATACTACAAATCTAGGTTGAAGTCCCTACAATATACCATCATAATCCGCAAGCTGCTCGGACAAGGAAGTCACTAGCCACTAGCAAACCTTTGATACATTTTTTGGGGCACCTGCAAGAGGTGATCGCTTCATCGACAATGCGCTTTGTTCCATATTTAATTACCTAATCATTCATGCAAAGGGATGCCTCTATGAATAAGAAACAGACAACAAGCAGGAAAAACTGCCAACACTAGTATAGAATAGTAGAATCACAAGAAGGACGAGCACGAGCAATTTTTATTCTAATGCACCAGTAGGCGAAGCTTTCTCGGAATTTTGTCCTCTCCCCCATGGATTTTCATGTATGTGGCCCTAGAACTCGGATTCCTTGCCTCGTTAATACACAGGGAACAAGCTTTCAGGATCTGTCACTTTTTTTCAGGCAAACAAGGTTCATTGTTTGAGGATGAACTAGCGTCTAATCGTACTAGAGCTTAGATGTGCAGCATAGATTACCGAAAGTTTTGCAGAGCTCACAATCATTTTAAAAAATCTACTTGCTGTTAAGAGTATATAGCTATTTCTGTAATTGCAATATTAATCTTTTATATATGGCTACTTTCGTCGTCGATTGATTTCGGTGTTATCGATTTTCGTCGATTTTTTTGCAAAGCCTGACCGACGGGGCCTATTCTGGCCCTAGTAATCATCATGCTCACTGATCCCCCTGGGGAAAGGTCGTACAGGGATAGGGATGGAACCTTTATCATAGTGTTTCGACAGGGCCGGGCGGAGCCGGGTAGGCCAGCTAGTAGGACTCTAATATTAGGTTGGTTCATATTCAATGTGCATTTTCCCTACCTCTTATTTCAAGCGTAAGTCTTCGGAATAAAATCGTTTTTCTTGGAAACCTTTTGTACTACCTGAAAGCCCGCTTCTTCCAAATTGTCATATATACTTTCGTCTTCGAAAGTCTTTGTTCAAGTCCAAATTCCATGCTTTCAAATAAGGGACTAATTCATGAAATTATTTTTCCGAAGCAGAATTTTTGAAAAATTTTGAGCCGAGAAGTTTTAACTCAAACTTATTTAATTGCTGGGACTATTCTGTATAAAAGGCTTAGGTGATAAGCACTGCAGAGCTCTTGCTTTGCGCAGGTAGAGTGAACCACTACTAATGGTAGTGGTAGGAAAACGGCAAGATTTTCTCGTTTCTCAGATGAGAAAAATATAGAGGATTAAAAACGCATTTTTTGGTTTTTTGTCTTCCCTAAATTGCAGAAAAATGGGTACATTCGCTTTCTTGGCAATAATTCTTCGCAAAATTTTTCCGTAAAATCCAAGTTCCACACAGGGCGCGACACAGCTGGCACCGCATCATGCTGGATATCGTCTTTGGGACCAATAGCAAAGCGGATACCTTTGTGGCCGAAAGGACACAAAAATTGCGGCGATTATTTAGTGGACATCCTTTCTAAGTGTCTTCTACGTTTAGGGTTTAGAGTTAAAGGGGACTTCGTACGAAATTTTCAAGACCAAAGGGAATTTCGTATCGAAATTTTCCTGATGCCGGCTCCTGCCGAGCCCTAGTTCCACATTAGTATCCAAACGGCCATCTTCCACACAGTAGGCAAAGTCTGCTCCATTTTACTTTTGTAAGTTATGCTCTCTCAAACCAGAGCTTTCAAGAAAGAATTCTTGGCGGTTCTTTGGAGAAAATACTAGGTTGTTTCGAAAGTTCTGTCCGATTTGCGATTTTCTCATTTGAAATCTCATAACTTATTTAAAATCAACAGTTTTAAACAAGTTAAATTTTGTTGAATTAAACGACGAGTTTATGGCTATCACAGGCATTGTATGCCATGTAAGGAAGGCAAGCGAAAGAGAAGAGAAAATTTTTTGAATTACGCAAGGTTTTCTTCGAAACCGTCTAGTTTGACTTACTAATGCTTCCATATGAGGATGAATAGACATATTTGGCTGCCATCATTAAGTAGCCTATGCTCCAGAGATTCTTTTGCGGCTAAGAGAGTTCGAGTTATCTTTGCTGCATAAAAATTTTGCGAGCAAATCAAAAAAACCCATTATTTGAGTCCTCCTCCGCGTTCGAGAATATGCCGACATTCTAATATTTGCTTTTTTTGCTGTCGCAAACGAAGAAAGCCAATCGGCCGACGGTTCCTGCTTGCCCTCGCTTTACTCTAATATATGCAATATTGAATGCATCACCCGTCGCTCTATGTAGATTGTTGTCGCTTGTTGAATGACAGGGTTTGTCTTCCGTATTCGAAAAAAAAATTGAAAAAGCAAGGCATTCTCTACGTCGGAGGAAAAGTTGCTTATGTTAGCTCATTACACCCTCAACCATTATAAATTACTAGTCACATATTTAGTTTTACGGATACTGCGGAAATTCCCTTCATGGAAACGTTTTCTTGGTCATGACTGCATTTTGGCAACTTTGCTTCGGGGATTAAAATTGCATCACAGGAATGTTGTTTGCCAAGCGTTAGTAAGCACTAGAAAGAGCAGGATAAGTACTTCTAGATGATGGTTATGACAGCAAAACCCTAAAAAAATAGCTGCGTGAAAACAAGCTAATTGAAAATCGGACAGAACTTTTGAAATAGCCTAGTACTTCCCCTAGTGAGTACACTCATACAGATGCATATGCTGTATAGCTAAGGATTTGCTGTTTATAATAGTTTTCAAAGTGCTTAGAAAGGTTGTTTTCGAAAAGAATCATCTTGATCATAAGTTACTATCTCAATATGATAAGATTGCCTTGCGTAGCAGTAATCTACTTGACCTTAGGAAATATGAGTGTTGGGATTATGTTGTAAACGTGAGACTTTCTCCTGAGAGCAGACCCAGTAATGCGTGAGGTCGTAAAAAAGGCATGAAGAAAATGTTTTAGTAATTTATATCAAGTTACTGATATTTGCAGATGGAAAACTCATTAAGGGGACTAAAGAAGTGGGTTGGCCGTGAATGTCGTCCATAATTGCTAGCCGGTAATCTATTGGGTTTCGGGAATTAATGCAGGTTCCTTATTCGACCAAAGTAGTTCAATATAGAAATGTGGGAAACATATTATTCTAGAAAAAAGCAAGGAAAACATAGAGGCTGCTCTGGAATGATCTCAAAAATTTTTATCACGTGGAGTTTGAAAGCAAAATTCAAAATCTCCAAATATACCAGAAATTAGATTTTCGCCTGGAAAGATCTGCGGACCTCCAACTTGGTCACGTATATGTTCCCCACATTAAACATGTAATACATGTGAAAAGGCGATAATGTGTTCCTACCCCCTTCACCCCAGGGCCAGAACCCAGCTAACCCCCCTTCACCCACGGCCGATGAGGAACTGGAAAAAGTGAGACTAAGAAATCAACATTTTAAGCAAAATTATAAAACTATCGGCATTATTAAAATCAAATTTAGTGACTTATTATGATTGTCAAAACTTACTTGCAGGCTCATGAGAAGTACATCGGAAATTTGCCGCCTATTGTTCACTTCTAGAGAACGATGAAAAAGCCTGGAGAAAAATTTACGTGTGAAGCCTTTGTGTACATACGTCAATTATTACTCACATATTTGCTGAAATAGTAAATGAAATAATAAATGAACTTTGATGATCGGTGCGCAGTTGAATTGCATTCTTTTTAAGAGGTATAAATTTTCTAAGCAGATGGCGGAATCGGTGGAAAGTCATTGAATGATTCCTTGAAGAGTCATTGTTCTAACTTTTAATATTAATTCTAAACTCCGAAAGAGATCGTAACATTTGCGTAGAAAAGCAGGTGTAATAGAGGAACCTATTACATCCAAGACTTTGTGTAATCAAGGTTAGTCTTACTGTCAAAATCCTATAGCTACGAGGATCGTGGAATTCTACAATCCGCCCACTTGGACGATGATAAGGACGAGGAAGGACAGCGCCAGAGATGCATATTTCTACGTTGGAGCACTATACAAGAGGAGAAGGACAATCGTATATGATCACTGCGTGATTATTCTGAAAAAAATTTTGTTTTACATCGAAGAAGATTGAGGAATATAAAAGATCTTAGAAGGAGAACTCAGTCATAATTAGCCTACTCTAGTTTAGAAGTCTACTTTCCATCCGCTTTCAGAAAACATACAGCTTGCCAGGAAAAAGAGGGGTTTTTCCTGCTAAATAGAAATAGTTTTAGTCATTTTTTCAAAATTGTAGAATTTTTCTATAAAAAATTGTAGATTTTTGATATGAGAAGATAAGAGAGTCTCTAGCCATATATTGAATTACTCTTGTTTAAAGCTTCCAGAAAATGTATAGCTTACCAAGGAAGAAAGGATTTTCCTGTACTGTGAAGGTGGTCGCAATTGTTTTTCGAAAATTAAGGAAATTTTTTTATAAAAATTCATAACTTTACTACACGAAAAGCTAGAAGAGTGCTTTGCACTCTTTTGGAATCCCCTCGTCGTCCGCTTTCAGGAAATATATAGTTTGCCAGGAAAAAAGAGGATTTTCCTATCGGGTGAAAGGGGTCGCAGTCTATTTTCCGGAATTAAACCAATTTTTAACTTTAAAAAATCATAACAATTTTATGTGAGAAGCTGGGAGAGTGATTAGGTGTTTATTGAATTCCTATCGTCGTCCGCTTTCAGAAAATATATAGGTTGTAGGGAGAGGGATGCTAAAAGTACCTGGTGAAAGGGGGAGGAACATGGTATAATGGGCATGTTCCTTTAGCTCCTTAAAACGACGCTTTTTGAGTACAGAAAGGAAGATTTTCATTATACCATGTTCCTCCCCCTTTCACCAGGTACTTTTAGCATCCCTCTCCCTACAACCTATATATTTTCTGAAAGCGGACGACGAGAGGAATTCAATAAACACCTAATCACTCTCCCAGCTTCTCATATAAAATTGTTATGATTTTTTAAAGTTAAAAATTGGTTTAATTCCGGAAAATAGACTGCGACCCCTTTCACCCGATAGGAAAATCCTCTTTTTTCCTGGCAAACTATATATTTCCTGAAAGCGGACGACGAGGGGATTCCAATAGAGTGCAAAGCACTCTTCTAGCTTTTCGTGCAGTAAAGTTATGAATTTTTATAAAAAAATTTTCTTAATTTTCGAAAAACAATTGCGACCACCTTCACAGTACAGGAAAATCCTTTCTTCCTTGGTAAGCTATACATTTTCTGGAAGCTTTAAACAAGAGTAATTCAATATATGGCTAGAGACTCTCTTATCTTCTCATATCAAAAATCTACAATTTTTTTATAGAAAAATTCTACAATTTTGAAAAAATGACTAAAACTATTTCTATTTAGCAGGAAAAACCTCTCTTTTTCCTGGCAAGATGTATGTTTTCTGAAAGCGGATGGAAAGTAGACTTCTAAACTAGAGTAGGCTAATTATGACTGAGTTCTCCTTCTAAGATCTTTTATATTCCTCAATCTTCTTCGATGTAAAACAAAATTTTTTTCAGAATAATCACGCAGTGATCATATACGATTGTCCTTCTCCTCTTGTATAGTGCTCCAACGTAGAAATATGCATCTCTGGCGCTGTCCTTCCTCGTCCTTATCATCGTCCAAGTAGGCGGATTGTAGAATTCCACGATCCTCGTAGCTATAGGATTTTGACAGTAAGACTAACCTTGATTACACAAAGTCTTGGATGTAATAGGTGCCTCTATTACACCTGCTTTTCTACGCAAATGTTACGATCTCTTTCGGAGTTTAGAAATAATATTAAAAGTTAGAACAATGACTCTTCAAGGAATCATTCAATGACTTTCCACCGATTCCGCCATCTGCTTAGAAAATTTATACCTCTTAAAAAGAATGCAATTCAACTGCGCACCGATCATCAAAGTTCATTTATTATTTCATTTACTATTTCAGCAAATATGTGAGTAATAATTGACGTATGTACACAAAGGCTTCACACGTAAATTTTTCTCCAGGCTTTTTCATCGTTCTCTAGAAGTGAACAATAGGCGGCAAATTTCCGATGTACTTCTCATGAGCCTGCAAGTAAGTTTTGACAATCATAATAAGTCACTAAATTTGATTTTAATAATGCCGATAGTTTTATAATTTTGCTTAAAATGTTGATTTCTTAGTCTCACTTATTCCAGTTTTTCTTCTTCGAATTTCGGGGGGGGGGGGGGGGGTAAAACCCAATATTCGACTTTAACCCGGTTTGGCAACAATTTCACTTGATGCATGTGAATGAAAAGAACATGAGAAGCAATGATGACGAACATTGCCCCCCCCCCGGTCGACGCACCTCCACAGCCGCGGCCGCTCCCCCCCCCCCCTCCCTCCCAGCGGCCCTCATACCCCCTTCACCCCGGAGAGTCGGGACCCCTATGACCCCCTTCACCCTGGAGAGGCCATGTTCCCCCTTTGCACACGTATGACATGTATGAACACTTACGGCATTTTACAATGTCCCATAATAGAAAACTCAAAATGGGCCAAAAATTCGAAAACATAGAGTTAATTCTTAACCAGATTCTTCTTGAACCTATTACGTTCCTCGAAGCATATAATGGATAAACATCACTGAGACGTCAATCTGCATAATTAGTAGAGTGTATGATGTATGTTCAATATTGATATTTTTGACGTAGTACTGAAAAAGGTATAGCACACTCACCTTTGACCATCTTGGTATTTGTAAAGTAGTTTGTAGAAATCGTTGTTAAATCGTCTGAAAAAATAATCGCTGAATTTATTTACTATTTTGGTACATTTGAATTATGAAGCAGAAATGTAAGATAATCACTGCGCTATGAGTTTATTAAGTTTGAGTAAGCGCCGGCCTGAGACGCGACGCAGCGGTGGTCGCATTTCCTGCGTTTGTGGTCGTATGAATATGCTGTTTAGTTTTTGAGGTAGTTATGCAAAGATAGCGGTATTTTTGAAGAAGATTATGGAATTATATCGTACTGAAATCGAAAAAAGGTTCTTAGACGTGAGTATTTAGCACTAGTTTGCATCGCATTTCATCGAATTTATGCTTTGCAACCTAGTTGAAGAGCTGCACTAGTTACTGTGATATCCTTATTTATTTTAGCGGACCCCCTTCTCCCCCCCCCCTCACTCAGTCCACGCATCCTCTCTTCCTAGGGATCAGCTGACTTATTTTACCATTTGTATCGATGATGTAATTCCCTAGCAAAAAGAAAGTCCATTTCGCAGCCCGTGTGATTATTTCCATTCGGTATATGGTTGTTTTCTCACGCTCTCAAAGGTACGTTTTGTGTTCGGTCAGTTGAAGCAGCGAAGGATCAACACAAGAACTACAGGTATGGTAACTCTCTGACGTGATTTATGCAAGAACTTCCTTTCTCATATATCACAAGCGTGGATAATTCCCATACATGAAGAAAGTAAGAACAAATGTCCACAGACATTAGCTAAGTGTGGGCGATATTTAACAGCCTGGCAAGAAAGTTCATCGAATTGCGACAGTTTGGGTGCGTTTTGTAGGTTGAGAGATATGTGGTAAACCCTTGGATAGTGGAAAAAGCCCTGTATCTATATTGAAGAAGCTCAGGTGTAAGTACGGTCGTCAAGTGATGTTTTTGCTATCATTAAAAGATCTATAAGGTAGAGCTAGCTAGCTACTTAGTCCCAGTATTTCCATCCAGGGAAAGGGTCAGAAATTTTTCTTTGAAAAAGATGCTTAGCGCTATTCACGCTTCCAAAAAATCATTTACGAGACTGTTATATTTTTAAAAATTTCCAAAAATTATCCTAATTATTCGCAAGTATAAACAAGTCACTTACAAATCATAACTCATGTAAGTAACTTCAGAAATTTTGCGACCCATTCGGGGGGGGGGGGGGGGTGAGACGGAGCTTCCGCCTTCCAAAACATCACTTCCGGTCCGCTAACCACACTTATAAATCTCCTCTATTACTGCATCTTCCATTTCCCTCTCTTACCAATATTCGCTCGCACACATCTGTTCCATTAAAGGCACCGTCCACCCACATTTTCGACTTCCACGTTTTGTCGTTTCAGGGACTTTTCATGTCCCTGATTCTGAATATGAAGTCGAGAATGCGCGAAAACCCAGATAATCCCCGTTACGGAAAACACACAGGCGGTGATTGGATGGGCGCGCACAAATGGGCTGGCATGGATGGGGGTCCTCGTGTATGTTCTCTATTCCGAAGTGCTTTTCTCGCTTCCGAAGCAACATTTTGCGCCGCGACTTGAGCATTGGATTGATAGAGGACCCTACTATTATATGCTGCCAAAAGCTCAACACCCTCAACTTAGGATGGACGGTGCCTTTAACATTGCTGCCTGATATCTAGCGCATTAAAAATGAGAGAAAGTAGGTATCTCCTCTGTCTTAATGACAGATTTATAAGAAGACTAGGACATCTTCCATTGTGAAGACCACGCCTGGGAAAAAATTTAAGGCTAAACTGAAATTTACGACAAAATTCAAAAAATCATTTTAACTAGTTACAAGTGTGAACAAGTCACTTACACATTGAAAATAGGATAAGGGTATCGCAAAATCAAAAAAAACCTCTGTCTTAATGACAGATTCATAAGAAGTCAAGGGCCTTTTTATATTGTGAAACCTCTTTCGCTCATACAAGGGAACTATGCAGCGACATGCGTTTAAAGCTTGTCAGTGCAGCAATAAAAATCATCTTTTGTGTAAAGTAGCACATTTGAAACTCATGTATGCAAACCCCTACTTTGACACTAACTCACAAATCGTCTATAAGGCAAGCTACAGCACTGGCAGTGCCGCTTTTCAAAACTGCGTTTTAAACGCAATAAAACGCCGGAAGTGCCGCATTGCTATATCTTTCTTCAGGTTACTCCTATAGAGCTCTGGTTAAAATATTTGGAACCAGCGCTGTCTGATGCATCCAATAGTATGTCTGAAAATTGAAAAATTCACAATTTTTTTGTGCCCCACGGCGCAATAAACGCGATATTGCGTCGAAAGAGCCGCATTTGAATAACTTTCCACAAAACTATTCTTTTTGATCCTCCTTGTTATATTTGGACTCAGCACTGAATGGTCTATCCGGCAGTATGTTCAAAATATGAAAAAGTCAATTTTTTCATGTGCCGCAGGGCACAATAAACGCGTTTTTGCGTCGGAAGTGCCGCATTGTTATAACTGCTTTCATATTTATCCCACAAAAATCGTGTTTACACAGTTGTCATCAGTGTCCCTTGAGCTATCCGCCGATATGTTTGTAACTTTAGAAATCTTAATTTTTAGTGATTTACACGTTCTAAATCTTTTTGGTCCCTTTTTTTGCACTGATAAGCTGATAACGATCTTCAAAGTAATCATACAAAATTCTGAACAACATATTTGAAATCAGCTCTTCGCAAGCTATCCAATGATGTGTTTAAAAACCTAAAAATCTCAAATTTTTTGTTTCCGATTTAATTGGTCCCTCATAGTGGTATTATTAGCTAGGCTGGCCCCGGTCCCTGGCTGCCGTGACCTATCATTATCGATTTTTGTAACCAGGATCCGTTCAATAATATAATATGGAAGTAACATTTACCCAGTGACTTCAATACTCCAGAAGTGCAGTAACATAATGAAAATTGAATTTGAAATCTGAACTTCAGTTTTGAAATTTGTAAAATTTTAGAATTTACTCCTTCATTTAACTTTCTTTCAAAAATTCAAAACTACAGTGAATAACATTTCCCAATTTTCGTTTCGAAACAGTTGCCAGTCTAGCTCGAGTTCCTGAACTTTCTGCATTACACAGCAATGCCTTCGAAAATCGAAATTCATGATCTATGAGATGAACCATGAAATTTCGGAATTGAAATTGTATTTCCCAGCCATCGATGGCAAGTTTAGCGAGTTTCTGAAACTTTCTGCTTTAATTACACAACCGTGCTTTCAAAAATCGGGATTTATATGATAAAACATAGAAGTTTAAAATTCAAAAGTTCAGTTTCCCGCCATCGACTGAATTCAGGGAATTTTAAAGTTCCAAATTACACACCTGTGACACGGAAAATCAGAATTTATGATTTTTTATGCTATGCTGAATCGATATTGAAAAAGAAAGCAGAAGTGCACTGGTAGTAAATTTTATTCAACAATCTAACTCCAATGACGTCATGGAACAGTTCACAGGCAGCAGGCTGTTGATGTGTGAAAACTTGCCCAATGGAATGAGTCGATTGCCCCAAACTGAAAGGAATCAATGGTTCTGGCGATGCAGTTATCAAAGTTAAGGCGATATCTGCCGCTTTTTTGCGTAGCACATGAAGTTTAAACAATTATTCATGAGAATTTCATCTCACTGATTTTAACGCATGCTAATTTGCATTACTCTACATCTCAGGTGATTTTTTGCACATTAAGCAACTTCCGCAGCAGAAACCATATTAACGTGCTGATCTGGCAGCAACTGAGGGATACCATGTGTCTAGAAACAGCATGTTTCTACAGTAAATTCAGCGTTCAAGACTTCTTGTCAAAATCTACTTCTTTATATCTAAAGGTTTCTGATCCGATCTGAAAACAAACCTCCTCTGATTAGACCTTTTTGATATTTTTAGCCCCAGAGTGAATTTCGTAGAAACCACAACTCTGGTATCGACAGTTAGACCCATCAAACTCTTAGATGAACCAAAAATAAGATGCAACTTTGAAACTTCTAAAACTCAATTCATTTAGCAGCACGACTACGTATGAGCATCACAGGATGTTCACTTCTGATAAAAGCTCGACAATTCAGTCTTGAGGACTGAATTTTAATTTCAGAATATTTGGTAGAAATCATTTATTGAAAGCCTTTTTTTAAATGAATGCGATTTATAGAGCAGATAGAATACATTTTGAGTTAAAAATGAAACTTCAAGAGAGTTTTCCCTAGTTCATCAAATTAGAAGCATAAAAACTTTTGAATATTGTGTTGTGACAGTTATGATTATTATTACCCAATCGTCGTGCTTTATGAAACTAATTGCATGAATTTTTGAGACGTGGATCTGGTGGCATTAGTAGCTGTGGTTGATAATTAGTCTGAGGTCATTTATCGATCATGCAATTTTTCTGTTACGGGCCAGAAAACAAGAGGTTTTTCAGAAATACAAACACATATTGCAGACAGAAACTTTCACATATTTGCGCCCCTCAAAGTCATTAGGCTAATTTCTTTCGATTGATTTAAACGATAATCGAAAAATCATAAATTCTGATTTTCCGTGTCACAGGTGTGTAATTTGGAACTTTAAAATTCCCTGAATTCCGTCGATGGCGGGAAACTGAACTTTTGAATTTTAAACTTCTATGTTTTATCATATAAATCCCGATTTTCGAAAGCACGGTTGTGTAATTTAAAGCAGAAAGTTTCAGAAACTCGCTAAACTTGCCATCGATGGCTGGGAAATACAATTCCAAATCCGAAGTTTCATGGTTCATCTCATAGATCATGATTTCGATTTTCGAAGGCATTGCTGTGTAATGCAGAAAAGTTCAGGAACTCGAGCTAGACTGGCAACTGTTTCGAAACGAAAATTGGGAAATGTTATTCACTGTAGTTTTGAATTTTTGAAAGAAAGTTAAATGAAGGAGTTAAATTCTAAAATTTTACAAATTTCAAAACTGAAGTTCAGATTTCAAATTCAATTTTCATTATGTACTGCACTTCTGGAGTATTGAAGTCACTGTGTAAATGTTACTTCCATATTATATTATTGAACGGATCCTGGTTACAAAAATCGATAATGATAGGTCACGGCAGCCAGGGACCGGGGCCCAGCCCTAGCTAATAATACCACTATGAGGGACCAATTAAATCGGAAACAAAAAATTTGAGATTTTTTAGGT